CTCTCTCTCGTTCTCGTTCTCCTTTTTCTCCTCTTCCTCCTCCTCGTTCTTCTTTTTCTCCTTCTTCTTCTTCTTCTTCTTCTTCTTCTTCTTCTTCATGCTCGAATATTAAGCGATTCTTATCTTAATATTTAAGATCTAATCAAATGATTTGAGCTTGACCAGTGTCGTTCTCTTCAACATGATGATGAATTCATAAAGATCGAGCTTCGAAACCAAGAAGCTCGGTCGGGTGAGGATTATGTTCCTAGAAATAAGCCTTATTATGTATTTTTAAAATATTAAAACAGAAATTAAATTAACTACCATTTCTAGAGCATGTTCATTAGTAAAACTCTAGAGTTTAAAGAGAAGAAATTCAAAACTCGTGATCGACTGAATATATGATTTTTGAAAGGTGGGGATTTTGAGAAAGAAAAAATTTGCCAGTACTTTCTCTGTCCGATTCATGGAATCTTCATCACCTGTTAGAATAATTTCTTAGCTCTCTCTTTTGATTCGAGGGTTTTTCTCCGAGTTCCTAATCCAAAACATTCCACGTTAAATCGATCTGTGAGTATCAGTTAAGTTGTTTCAAGGTATCGATAAAATTTCTAGCTAATCCGCTAAAATAATCGGTAACATATTAATACTCTCCGCTCTCAGCTTATTGAAACCGAGATTTGAAACCCCGCAACGATTAGTTATGAAATCAAGTGTAATTTTAGAACGTAAAGGCATATTGACATTTTTGATGTTATTTTCTTAAAGGTAAACTGATATAGTTATTGAAATCAAAATAAAGAAAATATTTCTAATCAATTTCTATTTGTTATTTTGTTAGTTTTTTTTATGACGACGTTATTGAAATTAGGTGTATTTAAGAAATAATAAGAAAATGTTTCAATTATGCCTTATGTTTGTTTACCCCAAAATCCTAATAACCCATTATTATCCAAACATATTTCTATTATTTTGCAATTGAATGCACTGCATACAGTAGGACTGAGCCTTTAAAATAATCTGTCTCATTGTTTTACCGTCTACAGTATTCTGATTAACGAAATATTCTAATTTTACAGTCTTTTGTTTACACAATCAAGCTTGTCTTTCTAATAATTTGGAAATAAGTCAATATATCTTTCAATTCAAATTTTTCATTTCCTTCGCAATATAAGCCAGGTTGGCTTCAATTATCTTTCATTGACAAAAGCAAGCCAGTTCGGCAGTTGTTGGAGGTTAGCTATAGTGGGTGTACAACACAATCGAGACTAATCAGCATTATACAAATGTACAAGGTAAGTTATATCTTGGATTTTTCACAGAAATGAGATTAACGTCCTAAGTCAAGCAAACAAGAAAGAAAAAGCAAAACACACACACACACACACACACAAAGCTTGATTTATCATGATTGCAGTCGTTGACATCTCCTAGTATGACATTTCTTTCACGAACTAGCTCATCAGCAAATTGATGACTATTTAAAATCGTCAGATCCTCCTCCGATTGATCTTGAATTTTCTAGAAGCATGAATTCTCTAGAAGTCATGAATGCAGGACCTCGGACGTTTTTCAAGTTCTTTTCTTTCGCTCTATGGATTACCAATAATATTCTTGTGGGTAACTGCTGAATTGTCATTTATAAAACTTACTTACTCTTAAACCTAAAACTAGCGTAATGAGAGTCGTGCTGTGTGATGTTAAAGAGTATTTTCTATTCATATTTGTAGTTCACAAACTCTTATTTTTCATTCAAGTTTCGATTGAAAACCTAAAAAGGCACAAGGCATGATGTTCTCTGGATAAATGTTTCGTTTCTTCCAAAAAAATTTTAAATCTTCATGAATATGAACGAATAAAATTCAGAAGATAAACTAACAATTCTCTTGAGATCACCAATGTAAACTTTACATGGTTTGAAATGGGCAATTTACATATGAAGGTAATTAGTTCTATTGGTCAATATCTTAACTATTTTATTTACTTTAAGTGTACCTCCTAGTGCAGCATTTTCAGTTTCTGTAATTAGCCAGGAGCTTTTTATGACGCATGCGCAAAACGCTGAAGTTGATTCGGTGCGGGTTTATAAAACTGTCACCCGTGGTGACCATAAGTTATTATAGCGTAAAAGTAGAATTCCTGTAATTATTTTGTAAGCAAAAGATTTTTTAACTTTCAAAATTATCCCTTTTGGAAGATATGAGGTGTACCCAGTTTTGGCCAAACCATGAAATATTTTCTGAACTTTTTTCTGGATCCCTTGTTTTTTTAAGCTAGTAAAAACAACATAGTAGCTGTCTATCCCTCCCTCTTTCATTATATCTGTTTTCAATATTACAGTCATCTTGAATCTCTGTAGGCGTTCAATTATAAAAACGAAAATACGAATGAATTAGCTCTTATTTCATATGGTTACGATTAGTTATTTCATTTCATAAATGATGAATTTTAGAATCATCGGCTTCAAGCCAAAACAGGTATCATTGTCGTTCCTATTATAGTCTGTCGTTGAAAAATAAATGTTTGTGCGGAACTCAGAGTCCGTTAATGACAAAATGCGTGGTCGTAAATTCTACTATTATCCTTTTTTCTCCGTCCTTCCTTTTGTATATTTAATATGTGTGTAAATAAACAAAAGTCAAAGTCAACTTTATAAAAGACTAAAAAACAATTGACGAGATGAAAGGAAGTTTTGCCTAGCCGAAGTTGAAGTCATAAAATGCTAAAATTAAATAAAGTAAATGTACTGTATGACGTCAATAGTCAATGCGGAAAAAAGACAAAACAAACAAAGAGTTTAACGTTTGCCAAAATGGCGAATTTTATTATTTCTATAATCCTGAGAACAGAACGATATATCAGAAGCGCTTCAGTAGGTCTGTAAGCCAACATATTCCCAGATCAGGAGGCAATTAGGAGCATCAAGTCTTCCATACACTGGTCTCAGTAGCAGGTTATTTTTGTGAATCAACGAGTCAATTTATTCAAGCTATCAATATTGATATCTCTATTTTTTAAAAATATTTGCGTTTCAAAGAGCTTCTACTTCCTGCTACGAGAATTATTTAGTAGCGTCAATTCATAAGCGGAAAAACACTCTTAAACCGAAAACCTAAGTGAAGTGAACAAATAAAAAGATCATTTTTGCGAGCTACCGGCAGAGTCGCAAGTATCGTCTTCTCGTTTTCCCATTAATCGACTGAAAAACCCGTTGGTCTCAATTTTGACGCGAAGCAGAGATGAAAGGTACACAGCAAAAATAAAAAAGCGGAATTAGAAAGTCTATAATGATACTCTACACGTTGGAAACCAGTTAGGTTATCTACCCAGTGAATTCGTAATCTTTAACAGTGAATCTTGATAAAGTTTGAATAAGCTGCATGACTTTCAGGTCCATATTTAATTCATGACCCGCTAACAAGTATCTCGAATGCAAAACAAAACTCTTCACATTTCAATTATTCACAATATCACCAGATGTCAAGCTGAAATTTCTATTTCAAAAACGCGAAAAAATTATATTTCCTTGAAGTAAAATATATTATTGAATAAGAATTTTTAAGTTCAGGGGCAAATTTAACACATCCAAATGCTAGAAAGACCCAATGAACACTAAACAATAGGACTGGAACATTCGGAATACTTGAGAAACAATTTGAGTGATAAACCAACTTTTAGAACATCTGTTTATAGAATTACCGGCTTAGAATTCAAGTGTCAGTGGTCTCAGTGACAATGGTCGAAGCAATGAAGCTCAAGCCGAGCATCCTAGGCAAACATAGAAAATAAGAGCAGGTTCGTTAATCTAAATTCAAGAAAGGAATTGCAAGAAAATTGACATTGAAAACTATCATATCATCTGCTTTGACATTTTCTTGTTGTTATTCGTGTGCCTTCGGTATATTAGAACTTTCTTCGAGAGTTGAACCATCTGCGTATTAGTCTTCAAACAATTTATTGACCACGTTTTGCACCTGTTCGTTCTAACGGCCATAGCTAACTATGATCTAACAATTCATGAAAAGTGTCATGTCTCATAGAAGCCCTGCGGTACCGTCATTTATTGGTAAGTATTAAACTATTTACTATAAGACCTTTTTGACCTCTTTTCAAATCTTTCTGGATACTAAAATGTCTAGGAAAATTTTACCGTCATTTGTCGCCTGTTTTTGGATAGTAAGTTATTTTGAAATATTCAAGATATTTTAATAATAAACGTGTCTGCATGGTCATTTCAAAGGTGTATGAACCTCGGATGTGTTTGAATCTTCAATACAACATCAAAAGCTGAATTATTAACCATACCACTCATGGTAGTTACCAACTTGTGGGATCCCGAAGTCCATAAACACAAGAAGATATACCGGCAAAACAGACCAGATATAATTGCTAAGGACAAGATTGACAGACTTTGTTTCTTTGTTGATCGATATGTCAAAGTGAGAAAAATGCGGGAAATGAAAACGAAAACTAATCTTTGTTCTTAAAATTTTTGTGTTTATAATTTTTTATTTTATTTTTTTAATTTTATTAGAGCATTCAAAGTTATATGCAAATAGAGAATTAGAGCCATTAAAAGTGCGGATACTTAAAACTCTTGCATGTCAATCACCAATACGAGAGCGACCGAAAACCCCAAAGTATCAAGTCTTCTTGCATTGTCCATTACTTTGTCTGGGTGGTGTTCATACCATCTTCTAAAGACTTGAAATCTATAGCTTATCATCATCATCATCATCATCATCATCATCATCATCATCACATCATCATTATTATTAATATTATTAATGTTATTATTGTTAATTAGGAAGAGAGCGAGAGTAAAGGAGTAAAGAATTCAAAGAATAGAACTAAAACTAGATCAACTCATATAGCTTATAAACACGATCGATCAACACTTTCTACGCGAAAAAAAACTGTTCCTTGTGATCAACAAAGAAAATAATAGTTTAATCAGATCACAGTCCTATACAGATGGGCCTGGATAATAAATACCATAAATTTCAAAATTTCCCACGGGCTCTAATTATAACATCGCAAGCTCTTCAGATAAGTCCTAATGAAATAAGTTTTTTTTGCTACTATACGTGGCAGTCATCACAAAAGATTAAGAAAGAGCCAATCCTAAGGATCGCTTTAATTAGGATCATTTAAGGTGTTGAGATCGATCGACACAACCGCTTACTATACATAAGGCTTTTGGGATAAACATACGAGAGTCTTGTGTGAGGCACTTTTATCGTACTTTATTGGTATTCTACTTATGTGTATCCATATATTGTCCTAAATTTTGCCGTGAGCAAAAAGGTAAGAGGATTGAATAAGAACGAAAACTAAAGAATATAAAACTACTATAATGCTGTATAGATGTGTATAGTTAATGTTTACAAATAATGATAATTTATCGTATACGAAAAAAATAACTTTTGAGCAAAACATTGCTTGAATTTTGGTCCTTGGGGGCTCCGGTTCTTCGCGCGTTCGCGCGACCACCTGGCACGTACTTTCACCGCACCAAAATTCGGTATTGAGTACTTATGTTTGTATGAATATAGTTAATTACAGCAAAACCACTTTAACTGGATCTTTGATGTCGAATTTGTCTCTTGAAATATTGCGGGATTGTTATTACAAATATTTAAAAACATCATCATCAAGAACCTTTTAACTATCAACTATATAGTATATATTCTAATAACTATTCTTTGTCTTTCGTTCTATCATTCATTTTTCTTCTCTTTTCTTTCCCTTTCATTTTTTATTCTCTTCTTCTCTCTTACACTTCCTTTTTTATTCCAGTTTTATTTTTCTTTTTTACATTCCCCTCGAGTGTTAAATATTCAAATCTCATGTTATGACGATTCTGGGAAACAGCTCTCCGGTGTGGAGTTCCCCCTGCCCCAACCCCCGAACCCCTGCGCGGAGAGCCGCTACGCAGGATATTGTAAGAACGTATATCAAGCTAGACGTTGCTACCAAAAAAGATATTATTCTCATGAAACAGATTAACACAAACAATGAAAACACGACGTCCAAAATTGAGAGATTTTATTTTAACTCTTGAGACCACGTGTCATTCTCTAGAGTTAAGATTTCTTCGTTTGACGTCTGTGCATGAAAGGCCCCATTCAAACAATGAATTCTATTCTCAAGAGAATGTCACTTAGTCTGAAATGGAAAAGCATTAGGGCACATGCAATAAAACCATGAAATTAAGTCAAAATTGACAGTGACAAGACTACTAAATGAGTAATAGTCGCCCTAACACTCAACCAGACATTCATTACACATATACACAATGGGCCATTTGTGATAATCAATATTTCATGGTTCTATTGCATGTGCTCTACTCCCAAGGTAAAAGGGTCTGTAGGTTGATATCGCATGTTTTTTGTTTGCAGGGCAGACCAGTTCAACATCAGAAAATCATAAACCATGATCAACATGTCTGCATTGAAAGCCTCAATCATCGCCATATTTTTCGTCACAACGACCATCGGGAACTGTCTCGTACTTCATGTTGGTGCGTATTCTTGAATATTCTATATACAGATACATATAATATAATTCGGTGATAAATAAAATAAATGGGAAATAGCTGTGTTTTAGCAGAGGGATTCCAATCGGAATTTAGGTATAGAAGATAATATTTGCGTTGGGAGGAAGGAATCCGGAGAAAAACCATCGATCGGAGCATAGAAGAGAATTAACAAACAAGTCTACTCACATACGACGCCGAGTCTAAGCTAGTCGATTACATATCTACATTATTCATTTTTGATGATAAGAACTAAGAATACAAGCAAGTTAAGCAAAATCACGCCAAGGGGTCATTTTTTTTGTGCCATTTTTGGTTGTTGCTGTTTTTTTTTGTTTTTTTTTTGTTTTTTTTTGTTGTTGTTTTTAAGTCAGTTTTTCTGATTGTTTGTTTGATGAGTTATTATTAAGTTGGCTCGCCGTCTTGATCGTTTGAGCAAGAATTAAAATAGTCGAGAAAATTATGTTACCACCAGCAAAAATATATATCAGAAAAGAATAATAATCTTTACTTTGAAAACATTGGAGTTCCTGTGGATTACGTAATGTGCGCAGTAAAAGTGCGCGCTGACAACTGTACCCACCATCCTTAAAGAGCTGAATGTAATCTAACGAAAAAATAATAATAATAAAATAAATGAAAGCTAGCTAATATTTACTCACATGAACTGTTTTATACGATTTCCGAGCCCATCCCACACGGCTAACCGCCTCATCTCTGGAGTAATCTGTTGTTGACCAACATGCCACCTTGGTTCTCCATAAGCGTCTCTATCTTCGCTTCAAGCCTTTTTTGGCGGGCTACCTGTGGTCAGCATGACCGACTGAGACTGAGAGCAAACTAGTGAATGAAATGAGCTAGTGACCCAACCCTCCTCCTCCCTCCGCTATCACACAGGGAACCCAAGTGGCTAAGAAAGGAAAAATAAGAAAGATGTTTGGTTTATGACTGATTTATCATTTTATTTATTTCTTCAGGTCGAAAACACTGGGGCCATACCTCAGGTCACATCACACATTTCCTCGTCTTCCATCTCTCTATCGCAGACCTTATTGTCACAATGTTTTGTATGCCCTTTGAATTTACTGAAGAACTCCTAGAAAAATGGCTTTTCGGCAGGGCTACATGCAAAATCATCGAATACATCCAAGCTTCGGCGCTTGGCGCGTCAGTTTATATAATAACATTCATCGCAGTGGACCGTTATTTATCCATTGTACGACCTTTAACGTCTAAACTGAAAGCCCGTCATGGAAAATACATCGTGATTTTTTCTTGGCTCGTGCCCGTTTTGGTCTCAACACCTTACTTAGCTATCTTTGATATTGAATTGGAGCAGCATTCTTTTAAAAATGGAACCACTATGATATGTGAAACAAGGGGCCTTCCATACCCGTGGCTGAATAAGTGCTACTGGGTTGTCGAAATGTACTTCACCTTCATCTTGCCATTAGCAATCATGACATTTTGTTACTCAAGACTTATGAAAAAAATCCTAAACTTGAAAAAAGTCGGAGAGCCTAGACAGCCGTCGCAACATAACCAACTGAGTGCATCGTCCGATCCAATTGAACATAACTTAAGAAGAATCAAGTTGAAATCCGTCAAACTTACCATCGCATTTGTTACCATATTCATCATTTGCTGGACTCCAAAGATCGTGTTGGAACTCATGCGGATTACCCGAGGGACCCGCGAAGTACATCGAAGGACTGCCATCTATGAGGTAGCTCTTTTTATGAGCTATATGAATGAGACTTTGAATCCTGTATTATACGCGTTGTTTGACCCGTATTTTAGCGATAAGATAATGGGCATGTTTGGGAAAAAAGAGAGATCTTTTGGGGGAACTACGACCGATACATCTGGATAATATTCATGAATTTCGTAAAATTGTGAATATGTATTATGCCATGAAGCATATATACACCACGGTGCATAAGGAAGGCTTATAAAGACACAAATCTTTTGGTGTTTTGTATATCATAATACGGATAACATGTGTGATGCCAAAGTACACGAAAAGAACAAGCAAGCATGAAAATGGACATTGTAAATATGTATTACGCCATGGAGCTTTGGTATTTTGTATACTAAAATACGGATAATACTGCGCGATGCCAATATGGACATGTTATATATAATACGGAAAATGTGTGTGATGCCATAGTATATATCACAGTGCACACGGAAAGCACAAGCAAGCATGAAAATGGACGCACATGGAAGTATCGCCAAGGATGCCTGCTGGAGATTTCCAATTGGAATTACAGTGGATGAAGAGCTACTCTGTAGAAATGCCACTGCCAAATCCCATTTTTATTATTATCGTTATTATCATTATTATTATTATTATTATTATTATTATTATGATGATGATGATGATGATGATGATGATGAGAGTTACACACCTCTATTGCCTTCAACAATTGTTGCATCTGGGTCAATTTATATAGATTTATTGTATTGACCCAAATGCCTCTACTTGAAACAACTGTTTCTTAGTTTGAAGGCAATCGAGTGAAACTCTAACATATCCTATTCAAATTATACCGCATATAACATGTCAGGAATTATGTTGTATATGAATGGCATGTAGGATGGCACAAGACAGATGTAAGCATGCCAATGGACACACACGAGATCGCAAGATGCCAGTGAATTAATAAGTTGTATATAATATGCATGCTGGCATCTGCATGCACATACAATCAATAATACCAAATTTTATGTATACTACAACGTTGTAAATTTCTATGTGAAATACGAAAGACTAATCCATTGTATGCTTTTACTTATGATAAAAATATGGATATTCTTCCGCCGTCCATACAACAAATAATCTATTAAAAAATAAAGTCTTCTTTGGACGCAAACAACTGAAAGCGAGGCTAACAGGGACCTCTTGAGCTAGACCTCAACTCTTTAGCTTGGGCGTGACGTTGGTCATTTCAGACCACGTGTCAATCTCTTAATTATAAGATTCTTTATTTGAGTTATATCTATTTAGTTCACGTGTCTTCTTATGCGCAACTGTTAATCAAAAAATCAATACTGACTTTGGGAACACATGGTCTGAAATGGGAACGCATTATGCCCAATATAAAAGGGACTATTGGTGGTGCCATTGCCGTAGATAATTGACCACTCCGGCGCTAGCCATCACGTGGTATAAATTTTATTGGGTTGTGGTACGATCACCAAAGAGTTCGGACATTCAATTCTCGGCTTTCGGTACGAATGTACTGACTTTTAAACAATTTATTTACCTGATTTGTTGAGTTAGCGTCATAAATACAAGCAAAATACCATTTTTTCTAATTTGATTGAAGCTTGTCTTACTGCTTTTTAGAGAAACAGTTTAACAAACCAAATAATTTGCTCAAAAGTCAGTACATTTGTACGGAAGTCCAAGAACAATGTCCGGCCTTTTTGGTGACCGTAACGCAATTCAACACGATTTATACCACGTGACACCTAGCGCCGAAGAGGTCAATTTTGATAGGTCCTAACATATGTATCCTATCACTTGTTCAATGGTTGATTATTTTTTATCGAATTCCTGAGCTTTTCTTCGCAGACGTGCCATATTTTCTCAACATCTTCCTTGGAACGGCTCCAGAATGACCTTATTGTACTGAAATACTTGTTCAAGCAGGCCTGCATTGACTTGTCATCTGGCTGCTTAATTACATTACATTGTGAATGCAGCGCTATCTGAGTTAGACGTGCTGCGACAAAGTAATACAACAACTCCAGTTCATGTCTGGACAACGGAAAAACGGACTGGTAGCCAGCCAAAATGTAACCGCTAAATTCTATTCCGCGGTCGCCTTTCATAAAAAATGCCATCGCGTTTGAAAGCTCACTAATCAGGACTGACTCCATCGTATCTCCGAAGTCAACTACCCCAGTAACGGTATATGGCGGCTTTGATACGAGTAAGTTTTCGCCACTCAAGTCGTTGTGGACAGCGCCTCGCCGGAATTCCCCCAATTTGGGTTTAACTTTGGACACGAATGATTCTTGCACTTCTCGAAACAAGTGTATTTGGTATTCATCTGTCAAGCTTACCATGTATTTTTCAAGATTCATAATTTCCAATACATCCCATCGAAAATTTTGTTCTGACCTTGATTTCAATCCAGGGTGCGAGAAATCCTGCAAAATTTTACAAAGAAATGTAAGGCTGAAAAGTTTCTTCAAAACTTTTTTAAATTAATATCAATAACTAATAACACGCCCACTTTCTAGATGATTTTGCTATCTTGAGTAAAGACCTCATTCGAAAAGCCGGGGCTGTTAGGGAGGAAAGAAGAGAACAAAGAAAAGAAGACATCCAATCCTCTTCTCAGTTCTCAAGAATAAATGGAATTTTTACGCTACGACTTTGTAAGATCCTGCCGTGCGCAGACGGCCCGTTCGCACTAGGCTAAATTTATGTTGTTTTGCAAAAATATCTGTCAACATCAGCCATTTCCTAGTGCGAACGCAACTTCTTTATCTTAGCAAAATTTGTCTCGCTTTACCAAACTTCAAAGACGCCATCGGCCTGCTTCGAAGCAGGACAAAATTTTGTCAAACGTCAAAACTGTCAGATTTCTTGATCCCTAACAGAACCATATGCATTTGGCGCGAAATCAATTCGGGTCATTAGTAATTACGGTGTCAACATGAATTCAGAGTGGAGGCCCAATTTTGGTAAAGAAAATAACTACCAACCACCACAAACCTATAGGCAAATGTTATATTTTGATTGACATATACTTCTTGCGGATCAGATTTTGGTATCTCGTGGTACGAACACAACAGGCCAAACAATTTTTTATCAAAGCCAATTTCTGTCTTGAATCAAAATGACTCGTACAATTTTTGTCGGTCTAGTGCGAACGGCATTTACATTAATATTATATATTAGCGTTCTTTTTCTGTTAATGTCCTATTCGTATTTTCAAATGGAGTTTTTAATACCAAGAATTACATTTATTACAGTAAGGACACTCGAACCGTGAAAACTTTTGAGGTTTTTTTCAGGTCTCTCTACAACGGTAATGAAGCATTGAGTTCAAAATAAATCTTATTTCCAATCGATGGGCTCAAGGGATGATGTATAGTATGCATCCCAAACAAAAAAATTAAAAAACTTGAAGTGTTTACGGTTCGAGTTTCCTCACTAAAACATTTTGTGATATATGACTTTTGATCAAGCTTGAGCTAAAGTGAAGTCATTTACACAGTTCCTCATTAACCAGTGAAACAGTCTAACAGACAACAGTGCGTTTTGTCACGTATAGCATCATGATAATTCACTTACCTTGTACTTACTTTGATCTCAACTGCTATTTTTTATGTTTTCAGCCTGACAATCATGCTCATAAGGTTAAGCTTACATCAAGCATTCAAGATTCAAACTTTTTCACCGTGACGTCAGAGACCAAGAAAATAATTAACAACTTAAAATTCATAATGAATGCATTGAATGCAAAGTAAAAGCCACCGAAGCTTGAATTTATGAATGAAGATGTATTTAATAAAGATTTCAAAATGCTAATAAAATTAATAAGTTTTGATAAACAGTTATTTTACAAGCTTAAGCATGCTCAGTTTTGTAAAATGAAAACCGCGTACTTTTAAAGCTTACTTGGGGTTTTTTACTTCCTTTCTAGTTTTAGCGCTTAAAAAATGTAAATATTGTCACGAATTATACAAAGCTTACCTTGAACTGTAGGCTTAAAGCTCCAACAAGCTTTCCAATCGTGAACATTAGTTCAGGATTTCTCTCCAAAGAATCGACTACGTCTCCAGGAAGAAAAGCTATCAATCTGACAACACAACCAGCTGTCTTGGAAATTTCTCGTGGACTGCCGTCTGCTAGTTTTACATGTGGCATTTTATCGTCTGCTCCTACGACGCTAAATATTTCAGGACAGGGAAAGCCTCTTTCTCTCAAGAATTCCGAAGCTTTTATTTCAGCATCTAATTGTTCTTTTTCTTGGCTGTCCAAGGAATTTAAAACTTTGAGCACAAACTCGCCCGGTTGATCATTATGAATTCGCGTTCCTTTGATGTAAAAATTTCGGTCCGAGAAACTTTCCAGTTCTTTGAGCTTCGAAATATGTGAAAAACCAAATAAAGATTTAGCCAATGACATGGCTAAGTCGTTAGAAACCTCTGGTCTTACCAAACTCATGGCTAAGAATGAAGGTACAGTATTTAGAATAAGAGCTCAGTGTGATGCTATCGGCGTCACTCGCTATTACTATGGAATACGTGACAGGAAGCATCACTTATTTGACCACTTCGGCGTTGCATGGTCTTACGGTCACCAAAAAGGTTACACATTGTTCTTGGATTCTCCGATTGTTTATCGGTTTCTCTAAGTAGCAAAAAAATGATACTTTGCTTGTATCAGGAAGCTACATCAACAAATCAAGTAAATAATTTGTTTGAAAGTCAAACCATTCGTACCGAAATCCGAGAACAATGTCCAAACCCAGGGTAAATTTTTTGGTGATCGTAACACAATCCAATAAGATTTATATCACGTAATGTTTAGCGACGAATGGGCGAATTGATCAATGATGGAGGCACGGTAGCGTGCAACAACACGATGAAATTGTAAACTGATATATTCCAAACATCCGTCGTTTTCCTTTTAAATATCGATTCTGTCCTTTACTGTAAAAACATGCCTGAAGACGCTGATACGTTGAATTTCCGGTAATCGTACTAACCAGTAACTTGATAGATGATTAACGTAACGTGATAGCAGGAGTAATGTAAGTAACTCGAGAGCAGCTTATAATTCAAATTTAATTCAGTATTTACTAGGACGTGCGTTACACTGATACGTTACGTTAATCTGTTATCAAGTTACTGGTTAGTACGATTACCGGAAATTCAACGTATCAGCATCTTGTTTCAAACCTCAAATGACACAGGAAACCCAATAAAGCACTTACTAATTTTTTTTATTCATGAACAAATTCTAAGCACAGGAAAACCAATAAAGCACTTATTGATTTTTTTTTATTCATGTACAAATTCTAAAGCCGGGCTCCCTGTGGCGGGACGCCTTCTGTCGATATAATATCTAAGAGAAAAAAAGCGTACTTTGGTGCCCTTTTGATTGTTGTGATCTTTGTAAAACTCCAGCTACTCCGCACTCCTTAACACTCTTCAGAGGAACACCTTCTGTCGATGCAATTTCTAAAATTCAATTCCCCATGGTAGATCGTCTTCTCCTTTTGTTTTAAGTCATCTTTACTTATCAGACCGTTATTTGATATTTTTTTAATTTCTTAAAAATCTAATCTAATAATGCTAGCGATATTCTTTATTCTATTATTTCAAAAATCAAAAAAGAAAAACGGAAAAAATGAGCAAAAGCGTGAGTACTATAGTGTTTAGGTCATCCATCCCATTGCTAACCCTCCTCGGACGAGCTTGACGAAGTATCTTGAATGACAACGATTTATCCACTGGACCACGGTTCCAGGTGAATCAGCATAACAATAGCTGTGAAAACAATGCACCGAATAGACTACACTTTTTGAAATTACATTTTCAACCGATTCCGTGCGTGGCAGAGATGCAAGGGATTAGCCGATATGGTCTGGGGGCCGGCTGGTCTCTCCCCTGATGCTTCGGCTAGAACATTTTTGCGTAATTCGTGCACCCAAGGGCAGAAGGATTTAATCGCCGTCAGGTCCGAAGTCCATACGCCGCCTCAGCTCTGCGGATGTCTCGGGGGTATGGCA